AAAGCAGGGGCTTAGAGGGTCACACCTGGGCAGGTGTGTGTGGCCAGCAGGATAGGAGCCCAGGCTGGAACCAGCCCCAGTCTGCCGCCTCAGCCCCTTGACTGACTTCGTTGGGTTGAGAGGGAAGGAGACCAGGTCTGGGAGCAGCAGATCTTCCTTGGGGAAACGGATAAGGTTTCCATGTGCTTCAGAAGCCCCTTTTCCTGCTTCCAGATGTGTGGCAGCCTGAGTGTAGAATCCAGCATGTACTGACGCAGTCTGGGGACCTGGGCCAGGGTTCTGGGCTCCCTCTGGAAGGAGTGAGGCTTAGCTCTGTGGTGGATGACAGATTGGCTTGCAACGCACACAGAAATGTACCAACCCAAGGGCAATTTGAGAAGAGGAAGGAGTTCATTTGCACCCAGTCAACCAAAAAAATAAAAATAAATAATAAAAATGTAAAATCATGGAATAGGCCAGACTTCCTTGGCTTGCTGAGTGTGGAGCATTTTTGAGGACATGTGCTGGTCTTATTCCCAGATGAAAACCAGCAACCTTCTGGCTGTCTCCCCATGGTGGCCCTCTGGTGTCCATCTCCACCATCCTTTGGTGGGGTGCTTCCCATCTCCGGAGCTCCCCAGTGACCTGCTCTCTTGAGGGTGGGCTGGGAAGGGCCTGAGTCTGTTCCTTTAAAACAAGGACAAAAATGCACTTTCACTTGGCCAGAGAGGGCGAGGCTAGAAAAAGTGCTGTTGAGAAGCATCTCTCCAGTCCAGAGTGGGGCGGTTGGATGATCTCATCGGTTTTTCCAGAGCTAACCTCCATGACTACTTCGGAAGAAAACTAAGGCTGGCTAAATTCAGGAAAATCAGATTTGCTCTGAGGATGGAGATGCATTTAGCATGGCTAAATACTCCGAATCAGCCAGGCTCTGGGAATGGAGTTTTCTATGTATTCTCTCACTTAATCCTCACAACAACCCCACAGGGAAGGTAGTATTGTGTTGGTGGTTTTGGAGGTGAGGAAACGGAAACACAGAGAGGTTAAGTAATTCAGCTAAGATCACACAGTTTATTAAGGATGGATATAGGACTTGAGTCCAGATTGTTTGACTTCAGAGTACAAACTCTTAGTAAATCCAGAGCAATGCAAGAATGAGTCTTGGGCCAGGAGTGGATCATTTGGAAATTATTGGTGTTCTGCACCCTTATTGCTAGTATCCTTCCCTGCATCCCCACTCCATCCCTGTTGGCTAGGGCAAGAGGAGTCTTGCCTTGAACCTTAAAAGACCCTGTTCTGGCCTTCCTGTTCCTAAAAGATCCCTAAGGGTTTAGAAGATGTCAAGACCAAGGGGCACATGCCGACTGGAGGCTGGGTTCCCATCTTGAACCACGTTTCAACTACCCAGGACCAGGTCCATGTTCTCCAGGGTGATCTTGCCACAGAAGAGTACACCTTGGCCTGTGGTCCCTTGGAGTAGCTATGGATGGGGTCTCAATACCAGAGACTCAGGTGAGAAGAGAAAGACATAGACCGTGGGTGGGGTTCCCTGATATGCATTCACCCTGGGGCCTGCAAATGTGAGGAGCAGGCCTGCCCATCCCAGCCATTCCTCAATCTTGGCACAGAAGCCGGTGGGGTCACAGCAACACCCTACTTTGAGCGCAGACCTCAGAACTGATCCTGCCCCTTGCTTCTGAGTGTGTGCATGAGAGTCTCCATTTCCCTGTCCTAGATACTTCTAGATTTGCTCTGAGGATCAAGATGCATGTGGCAGCTTTGGGAACTGGCAGGTGGGAAGAAGCCCTTGGCTCGGCCACCCTCTCAACAGATCCCTCCCCCCATTGCTGGAGATGGTTTTTTGTGCCACAAGTCTCATGGTCTTGCTTCAAGGCCTGAAATGAAGCAACTGCCTTTTCTGGGAACTTCTAAAATGTATTATTTCCAGGTGACAGGATTCAAGAGGCCCAGGCAAAGGGAGAGAGGACACAGTCTGGGGCGGGCTCAGTCGGGAGGCACACGCTGCAGCAGGCTCGGTTCTCCTCATGGTGCTCCTCCCACTTCGGCCACAGTGTTCCTGGCAGAAGCAAGTGGGAACACAGGAGATCTGGGTTGTGCCACCCGGCCCGGCTGCAGACACCCCGGGCCTGCCTCCCTGTCCTGAGAGGAGGCTGGCCTGACAGTCTGCAGGGCTCTCGAATCCTAGTGTTGGATGGCCCTTCATACTGGGGGAGTTTATTCCAGAAACTGCCTTGGAGAACCAAAAATCCAAGGGGTAAGCCAGGAAGAGTGACTGGTCCCTGGATACCATCATGGCACATTAACAGTAAGAATTGCTGGTTTCTTATTGTTGGGCAGATTCCAGGCTGTGATCCTGTCCTGACTGGTGCTTCAAGGGTCTGTGCAGCAGCATTCCAGGGAAGGACCCTGCGCCTCCCAAGCTGCTCATCCCTGTCTAGGAAGTTCCATTCAGCAAACACTGACTGAGCCAACAGGAAGTCACTTGTGCCCTGGATGCCAGGCATAGAGAGATGATGAACACACTCATCTTCACACAGAAAGGACAGCCATGATTGGTCTTTCAGAGTCCCTGGGTATTTTGTCCACAGGGGCGGCCCAGGTATGTGACATGCACAGGACGCCATTCTGCCGAAGCCAAAGTCCACTGCATTTAGGTTTCTATGCACATGGTCTCCTGAGAGCAGTCTCCTTCAAAAACTGAGCTCTGTAACTGCTGGCCCAGGGGACACACACTGGCCTGAGGTCCTTCCTTTCCTTCATGTGTCTCCAATTGCCATTGCAGGAGTCCCTTCTAATGCCACCGCCTGGAGTTTAAGCAAAGGTGCCTGAGAGAGGAATGCGTTTTCTCAGGGAGACACTTTCCCTTCTCTACAGGCTAGAAAGAACATTTCTGGGAAAACCGAGAGTCACTGAGTGTCTGAATGGATGAGGCTAAGTACACTGGCCTTTCTAAGTGCTCTGTGTGCAGGAAGACCTTGGGAACAGCCTTTCACAGCTGAAGCTTGAGGTGGCGGAGGCAGCCAGCAGAGGGCAGCAGAGAGACAGCCAGCTGCTCTTGCCAGGGGATGGCCTCCAGGGGACCAGGGTAAATTCCAGTTGAGGAGAGGTAAAGAGAAAAATTAGGGTCATGCTGCAAGAGGCTTTTCTTTCTTTAAAACAATTTATTTTGATAAGGCCAAATGTATTCTATCTAGAATATTTTGTATTTTTCTATTTTTTTGTTCGCATTGCCTTTTCTGTAATGATTGTGGCTTGCAAGCTTTAACAATAGTTAACATAGTTACTAATAATAGTTCTAATAATAATAGTTAATAATTTACTTTAATACTAGTTAACATAGTTACATAGTTACTAATCTCTTGCACTGTCAGACCCTCATCTAAAACCTTTATTTATACTTACTCATTTAATCCTCCCAATTATCCTAACACACTACTATTACCTACTTCTTAGATATAAGGAAGTTGAAGCACAGACGGGGAAGTAACATACCCAAGGTCACATGGCTAGGGATTCGAACTCACTACAAACCTCTACATGAGTGACGTGAGCAGGGTCATGGCCTGGAGAACACAGAGTCCCTAATGGGGCTGGGGCATTGAGCCCCGGTTATTCTTGCCAGGTGGAAATGTGAGCCCCCAGATCATCCTAAAATGTGGACTTTTGATCTGACATTTCCTAGTCTTTCATGTGCGAGCTACTGATTAATAAATAAAAATGACCACAGAGGAATAAACACAATGCACTTGTAAGCTTCGTCACCTATTTGTGATTCGTCAGTAGGTGCTGGCAGGTTTTTCTTTGTTTTGCTTTTGATTAATAGTTAGCACACTGGAAGCTTGGACCCCTTGGTCTACTGGTTTGTGGAATTCCCAAGTCTGGGACCCTCCTGTCCACACAACACTGGAAAGTTCCTGGGCTCCATCATGGTGAGGTGGGGAGGGACATGGTGAGGTTGAGGAGAGCAGTTGATGGCAGTGCTGAGGAGCTGCTGTGTGGCACTGTACACACCCTCTGCGGATGGTGCAGAGAGCAGGTGGAAGGGTATCCTCACCATCAGGCCTGGAAGAGTTACATTTGGAAATTCCCAACACAGCGACAATCTTCCCATATATTGTTTTATTTGTTCTTTTTAGTTGTACACGACAGCAGAATGTATTTTGACATATCATACATACATGGAGTATAACTTCCCATTCTTGTGGTTATACATGATGTGGAGTTACACTCGTCGTATATTCATATATGAACATAGTAAAGTTCTGGTTCATTCCACTGTCTTTCCCATTCCCATCCCCCCCCTATCCCCTCATTTTCCCCTGTCATGTCCCCACCTCCATTGATCAGAGAGAACATTCAGCCTTTGGTTTTTTGGGATTGGCTTATTTCACTTCGCGTGTTAGCACGATAGTCTCTAGTCCTATCCATTTACCAGCAAGTGCCATAATTTCATTCTTCTTTATGGCTGCATCTTCCCATAGTTTACATAGTATTTTGAAAAATTCTGCACTATCCATGGTCTCCTTTTACTCATCTTTCCTCTGTCTTTTTCTCTCCTTTCCTCCTTTCTTTCTCCAATCTGGAGAGAACATGGAATGTTTGCAAAACTTGGATGTTGGTTCTGCTGTGGGCACTAACCTGCAGGTGTGACCTGTCAGGCCGTCTGAGACCCTCATCTTCAGGAGATGAGACCCCACCCCACCTATCTTGCAAGGCTGCTCTGGGTGCTAAAACTATGAATAGGGGCTTGGGTGTGGCTTAGGGTGGGGTACCGCCCAGCATGCATGATGCCCTGGGTTGGATTCTTAGCACTACAAGAAACAAAACAAACCCAAATAAGAAAACCCTGTTACCACAACTGTGGCTTTCCCAATGAGGCTAATCCTCCCTCATGATCCATTCCTGTTTCTAGGGTCACTGTCCAGTGCTCTGGACACTGTGCCATGCTGCCCTTGATAAAGGTGTCCCTTCTGTTTTCTCTCCCTCCTCGGATCTGGAAGATGCTCCCTGGAGCCTGGCTGTGCTGGGCTTCCCTCCTGCTCCTGGCCAGACCCACCCAGCCCTGCCCAGTGGGCTGCGACTGCTTCATCCGGGAGGTGTTCTGCTCAGATGAAGGGCTGGCCGCCATCCCGCTGGACATCCCAAAACACGCCACGGACATCGTCTTTGTGGAGACCTCATTCACTACAGTGGGAACCAGGGCCTTCAGCAGGAGCCCCAATCTGACCAAAGTGGTCTTCCTCAACACTCAGCTCCATCACTTTGGGCCAGATGCTTTTGGGGGGCTGCCAAGGCTGGAGGACCTGGAGATCACGGGCAGCGCCTTCTCCAACCTCAGTGCCGACATCTTCTCCAACTTGACTTCGCTGGGCAAGTTCACCCTGAACTTCAACATGCTGGAGGCTCTGCCCGAGGGCTTCTTTCACCACATGGATGCCCTGGAGTCCCTCCAGCTTCAGGGGAACCGATTTCAGACTCTGCCTTGGAGGCTCTTCCAGCCTCTGACGCGTCTGAACACCCTGGACCTGGCTCAGAACCACCTGGCCCACCTCCCCGGGGGGCTGTTCTGCAGGCTCAGCAACCTGCAGACCCTGAAGCTGAGCAACAACATGCTCTCGAGGCTCCCTGAGGGTGTGTTTGGCAATCTGTGCAGACTGCAGGAGCTCTTCTTGGATGGCAATGCCATCAGGGAACTGTCCCCAAATGTCTTCTCGGGGCTCTTCTGCCTGCAGAAGCTGTGGCTGCAGCACAACGCCATCCGTCACCTGCCACCCTCTGTCTTCTCCTCTCTGGGCAATCTGACCTTTCTGAACCTGCAGGGCAATGAGCTGCGGATGCTGCCTGTGGGTCTCTTTGCCCACAACCCAGGCCTGGTGGGACTGTCCCTGTCCCACAACCAGCTGGAGACTATCACTGAAGGCACCTTGGCCAACCTGTCTAGCCTTGTGTCCCTGACGCTCTCTCACAATGCTATCACCCACCTCCCCGCGGGTGTCTTCTGGGACCTCAAGGAGCTGGGTAAGCTCTACCTGGGCAGCAACAACCTGACGGTCTTGCACCCAGCCCTCTTCCAGAACCTGTCCAGGCTGGAGCTGCTCAGCCTCTCCAGGAACCAGCTGACCACACTCCCGGGGGGCATCTTTGACACCAACTACAACCTGTTCAACCTGGCCCTGCACAGCAACCCCTGGCAATGTGACTGTCACCTGACCTACCTCTTTACCTGGCTGCTCCAGTACAGCGACCATCTCTTCCACATCAACACCTACTGTGGGGGCCCCGCCTACCTCAAGGGGCAGTCAGTACTCTCTTTGAAGGAAGAACAGCTGGTGTGTCCTGTCACCCGGGACCGTTTGGGCTTCCAGGTCCACGGGATAGATGACAGGGAGCTAGGGGACATATGGGATCTGACAGTGGAGGAAAGGGCAGTCTGGAGGAGGTGCACCTATAGCAACCCCGAGGGCACTGTTGTGCTGGCCTGTGACAAGGCCCAGTGTCGCTGGTTGAACATCCAGCTATCTCCTAGGCAGGGCTCAGGCTTCCTGGCGATGAAATACAATGCCAGTCAGGAGTGGGACTTGAAGTCCAGCTGCGGCTCTGTGAGAGTCACTGTGTCTATTGAGGCTCAGGCAGTGGGGCCCTAGCTATAGAGCAGTTGGATCTAAGAATCTGGACAGTAGCTTCTGGGACCTGACCGGGTAAGGGGCAGGGGGAGACAGGTGCTGGGTCTCCAAAGCTTTGGCTTTTCTGCTGCAAGGGACATGGTCACATCTCCAAAGTGGCGGAGGTGGAGTCAGGTCTGTTCCCCCCAGTTTGTCCTCCTCCTCTCCTTCCCCCATCATCCCTTCTCGGAGTCTGTGGACTGACAAGGCCATCCTTATTCCTTTCAAAGCACCCTTGAAAGCTGTGCCAGGGTCTGGAGAATAAACCTCCCCGGCTCCAGTGGTTTGCTATGACTCAGTCCCACCCCCTCTCCCCACCCCTCTCTCCAGCCCCAAGGAGCGGCCACCATTGCTCCAGGGACCCATCCAGCTCAAAACCCACATGTCGGTTTCAATGTCTCACCTTGGAATTTTGTTTTAAATGGATACAGAGATGGCAAAGGAAATGACAGAAGCGGGGGTGGCCAGCGAGGCAGGGCCTGGCTTCGTGCCGGGGCATCGTGTCATCAGCGCCCTCCTGTGGCAAGGGGAAGTCGAGATGAAAGAGTGCCCTGGGAAGGTCAAGGCCAGCTGGTGGCTCTCATGACAGGAAGTCCCAGAGGGCAAAGGTGTCTTTGCTGGATAAACACACAGAGGGCCACTCTGTGAGGATGCAGGACAGAGTGGAGGGAAGGACAGGGCAGGGACAGGTGAGCCGGGTGGGCTGGGGGGCCGCTTTGGCCACCTGGTTTTCTCATAGCATCTGACTGTCTGGGCTGCTCATTCCCTGGAATTGTTGTCCCTTGGTTCTTTCCCTCTTTCTACTTTTTTTTCCCCTTCCTTCCTTCCTCCCTCCCTCCCTCCCTCCCTCCCTCCCTTCCTTCCTTCCTTCCTTCCTTCCTTCCTTCCTTCCTTCCTTCTTTCCTTCCTTCCTTCTTTCCTTCCTTCCTGTACTGGGGATTTAACCAAGGAGTGCTTTACCACTGACCTATATTTCTAGGCCTTTTCATCTTTTATTCTGAGATAGGATCTCACAAAATTTCTGAGGCTCACCTTGAATTCAAAGTCCTCTGCCTCAGCTCCCCAAGTCATTGGGATTATGGGCATGTGCCACCACACCTGGCTCTTCCTTGGGTTTGGAGATGCTGCTGCTGACCCACCCCACCGTACTTTCAGTGTTCCTCACCCACCACCTACAGAACAGCCTTTTTAGGGGTCCTATATTTCTGCCTCCCCAATAATCCCAACTGAGGGCCCCCTCCACACGGATGACCCCCCAAAACTCCTCTTTGGGCTCAGCTCACCTCAGCGGCACACTGGCCTCTGCCTGCTTAGCAGCCACATGCTGGTCTAAACCAAGCTCTATCCCCAGCTCCTCCTGGGTTTCCGTCCAGCAAACTGGCAAACCTAAGGAGCTGGAGGTATCCTCCAATCTTTTCCCCTCCTTATCCTTGTGGCCAGTTAGTTAATGAATGTCCAGCTTTGGCTTCCATTTCTCTTTCCCCATCCCCAGACTCTGTCTCCTTGTCTTCCTTCCTAGTTTCCCAGCTGCAGCATGGAAAGCCTTGGGGGTATGGGGAGCAATGAATCAGCCAGTCCCCCAGCGTCCTACCACTGGGGCAGAGATCAGCCAAGAAGGCAGAGGACAGCAGGGCACGGAGGCGCGTACCTGTAACCCAGCTTCTTAGGAGGCTGAGGAGGAAG